GTGACCTTTGTGACCAGCTCCAACTACACAGCAGACCTGGGGGTGAGCCTGGGGGTCTCAACACCCTTCTCTCCTCCTGTTCCTGTCCTTTAATCCCATCTTTTTTTTTTTTTTTTTTGTCTTTTGTCTTTTTTCTGTGTCCGGCAACGGATCGCAACCCTCAGTGTTGCCCCCGCACCGGACCGGGGACCGGCAACGGGATCGCAAGCCTCGGTGTTGCTCCCGCACCTCGCTCAGCCAGTGAGCGGGAACCGGTCTGTATATGGGATCCGAACCCTCGGACGGGAGCGTCACCACGCTTCCCAAGCGGCGCACTATCCAGTGCGCCACCGGGCCGGCCCTTTAATCCCATCTTGATGCTTGCTAACACCAACTGCTGGGAAGGACGGGGGCAATCAGTCCAACTGTTTCCACAGGTGTCCTTTAGGCTAAAGATGACTAACTCCTTACTTGCCAGGCAATGTGGCTTTCTAAATCCCAGGAGGCCAGGCATAGGGACATGTCATTTGTTCTCAGTTGAATTTTATGCTCCTAATTTAATAGGCTCATAAAATGTCACAGGCCTAAGGGAGCTGAGAGTTCATCTGATCCACGTTTCTCAAACTCGACCAGTTGTCAGAAGCACTAATGGAAGCTTTTTCAAAGTACAAATCTCTGGATTCTGAGATTCTGATTTAGTAAGTCCAGGGTGGAAACCTGAGTTTTTAAAAAGCTTCTCAGTGATTCTGCTGACGAGGCATCTTTGGGGACCTCTGACCAGATGCAGACCCGTGGGTTGAGAATGGAAGGGACAGGCTCCCAGGGCCAGCTGGGGCCACACCACCTCCTCGAGGCCGCCTGACCACTCTGGCCCCTTGGAGACTGTTGAGTTGTGCTGAAGCTGTAAAACCTGGGAGCGAGAAAGTGCCCCTTCTTCAGGGAGCTTGAGGCAAGTCCTGAGAGGAAGTGCCATGGAGAGAGGAACCATCTGAAGAGACTGGAGGAGGAACAGGACATGGGGGGACACATTGCCAATGCTGGGAGCGGCTTGTCAGCCTGGTGTTTCCCATCTCTCAAGGACACCCCTGCAAAGCAGCATGAAGGCTGTGGTGACGCCCACAGGGCAGGTGCAGGCTGTCTTCCGACCCCTGGTAGACTCTGATTCCCACCCTGGGCTCCTGCGTGGATGGGGAGGCTGTGCCCAGCGCCCCGTGCTGGCCTCCTCAGAGGTTGCCAGATGCTTGTGGGCCCTGCGACTGGCATGTCCCTCCTCTGCTTTCTCTTCCTGTCCATGTCTGCCTGCCACTGCAGTTTGGAAGGGGGCCGTGATCACTTGGGAAAGACTACATCAGTCCAAGAGCACCTTTGGAGATGAGCGTTGCTGCTAGAAATCAGTGTGTTTAGGTAACATTGAGCTGCCAGTTGGACACAGGAGCCCTTGCAGCCCAGTCCTGAGCTCCACTTTGCTGTGGGGCTGTGTGCCCAGCATGGCAGCCCGGCGGAGCCTTCAGCCCCCCTGAAGGCTGTGGCAGTTGACCCTGTGGGGAGAAAAAAATGCATCTTCCCAGGGCAAGGCGAGGGTAGACCAGTGACGGGCTACCTGGAGAGGGCCAAGATGCAGCTCGGGTGGGCCCTCCCTCCCCAGAGCCCGCTGCTGCATTGCGGACCTGCTCTCCTTCTTGACTGTTCCCTACGCCGGGGCAGGGGACCTTCAGGTTCTAAGTCATTCTCTGCACCTCCTTGCCTGCTCTGCCAGAAGAGGCCATGAGTGTGAGTGTCCTGCACCGCAATAGTCCCTGGTTCCTGACCCACTTCGACGCTCTCACCCTAGGCTCCCTACGTGGACGTCATCTGTGTGAACAGCTACTATTCCTGGTACCATGACTTCGGCCACCTGGAGGTGATCGGACTGCAGCTGCAAACTCAGTTTGAGAACTGGTACCGGGCCTACCAGAAGCCCATCATCCAGAGCGAGTATGGGGCAGAGACCATCGCAGGGTTCCACCAGGTAAGGAGCACATGGCATTCTGTTCCCTTCATTCCTTGTCTCGCAGCGTTTCCCGTCTGTCCCCAGGACTGAGGCCTCCCTTCGACCATTAGCACGCCCCCCAGCACTCACCCCCGCCCACTGCCCAGGCCTCACCCCCCTATGCTCACCTCCGTCTGGCTTGCTTATGTAGTAGAGTGTGAGAATCTGAAATAACCACGTGTGACTAGTGGTTATTGTATTAAACAGTGCAGGCACATTTCCATTTAAACAGTAAGAAAATCTGTGTCCTACCCTGCCCTCAAATTCAACTTTGGAACTGGAAGAAAACATGGCTCAGTTGAGCAGTTATATTTTCAGTGTATGTCATGTAGCATTTTAGTTCTCGTTGGAAAAGAAAGTCAAAACCACCAGGATTTTGTTCTTTTTTTTTTTTTTTTTTTTTTTTTTGTCTTTTTCCGTGTCCGGCAACGGATTGCAACCCTCAGTGTCGCTCCCGTACTG